CAATTCGATAAAATATTGTATTTAGACGAGATGAAAATACATATTTGTTATAATCGCCAGACCAATATACCAATACCGAGCGTTATTTATTACACGTTATTACACGTTATTTACACGTTATTTGTCTTGGTAGCAAAAAGAACAGAATTTAAAAAGAAAAAAGAAATATATGAGATGTCTAGTAAAGAACAACTAGGTAAGTTAACATTTGCTTCACATTTGTCACGTTTTCTTTCTGTGTAGAAAAAAACGAGGAAAGAGAACAGTTATAAAAGAAAACGTGACAAATGTGAAGCTATTCTGTGAATAGCTGAATTTAAATTCTGTTCTTTTTGCTACCCAGACAAATAACGTGTATCCTCACGTATACTAGTGGTGTGTTTATCAATGTCACATGTTTCTATCAAGTGTTTTAACTCTATTTAATAACATCGAAAAACAAGTCAGCTCATACAAAACGTGATCCGATGAAACAGGAAATAACTTATTTCTCAACATGAGAACTATGTTTGCGCAATCCTTCCTTGCAAACCCAAACGTCGGTAAAGAAGGAAGGCAGATAAGGTTGTTTTACGTCCCAAAACGTTTTTTTAAAAAGCGTGACATATTTGAAATCATCATCGAATTCTGAACAAAATGGCGCATTTAGTTTTCCGAAAAAAACATTTTCATTTTTTTCTGCCCTATGCCCCCCTTGGAACATCGGAAACTTGTTTTCTTCAGATTTTCTTCAAAGGCACATCATTAAATGCAGATTAGGCGCTGATTACGAATATCATGTCTTCTCGGAGAAAATTACGTTTTACTTGCCGATGACCTGAGTGACCCTATTAAATTAACGTCGTTCGAGCACCCACCTATACTAATTCGTAACCTTCAAAACCGACTAGATATACTCAGGAAAGCATAAGGTTTTAGAATATTATATTAAAAATGCTTCAAATAAGGCTATTCATCTGGAAAAGCCGGCTTTAAGCCGAAAAACCCACCGTTCGGTTTCAAAATATTTTTACCATATCCAAACGATGAACATTACCAACACAAAAATTATGTAGAACACGCAGTTTTGAACGCTCTACCCAATGGTGGTATTTTGAGCCAGAAATAAAAAAACGCTGTTTTTAAAACACGGTTTTTGTGTGAAAGGTTTTTCAGCAAACTCTCATATGATGGTTTCAACCACTCCTACCATAAAAGCATCTTCTGAATGGATTTATTCATAAAATAAATCAAAGAAGAGAGGTGGATAATGTCGCCACCTGGCACTGTCTTTCCGCCCCTCCGCTCGCTCGTAAGGGGAGGGGGATAACAGACAGTGCAAAAACAGCCATTTAGCCTCAACAACCCCCTTTAAACTTTCCTTCTGATGAAAGAAAGCCCCAAAAGTTTACACAAAATAACCAAATTTTAGAAATGTTCTAAAAATGCTCCGATTATTTGTTGGTTAAGGTTTAAGTCATGGATCGTTTTACAGTGAGAAAACGGTCGGTAATGATCTGACTGATATGGCGTAGAAATCGTTTGTTGACGCAAGGTTACCATAACTATTTCAATCACTTGGGGTGGTGGATCCTACTGCTATATATATATCATACATCCTTAACAACACGACTCGTTATATTGTCACTACACATTGGAGCATGTATGGAATTTTCTATTTTTAAACGGCATTTTAATGTACACAAGACACAGTCAACATGTGGATCATTCTTGAAAACCAGATTAATTCTTAGAAATTACAAGTTTTTCACATTAAACGATGTGAAACTGAAAAGGAAAGACATTGATTCATTGCTCGTATTCTTACACGAAGACGACTTATGCCGTATGACACATCTAATAACGAAGTGTGAGGGCGCGTAACAATCTAATGTATAAAGGATTCGATCTAAACGTCAACGGCAGAAACCAAAGGGTTGAATGTACCTTATACGGGCTCACATAATAATGACAAGTGTGTTGGAGTTCAGCAGTGATATCAATAATCTTTTGGATTAGACTAAATAGTGATGATCATCTTCTTTCTTTGCTGGTACCATATTTTTAGCATTATAAATTCTTATAGTAAGTTGAGTTCGGAACGAATAAAAGTCTTGAAATTATTTTCTATTATCTGTTTCCTTTTTAGCATGTCGTGAAATATTCTGTGTCTCAGCTACTTTTACTTACGAGAAGAATCAGACGTTTCGCGTTGATGATTTCTATCCCTTTTGGTTGACAGCTAAAACAAAATTTCTCTCAAGACGACGTATAGAAACCAATCTTCTACCACTTGCCAAAGTAAAGTCATTTTTTACCATTGAAAATGATCTCGTCTTCTCGTCTGTTGTAGAATGCATCATCTTTATATGAAACGAATTTAAATCATGTTTTACCTACTAGTAGGTTTTTTTGTTTAACTACTGTATATCCAAAGTTGATTAACTCAACTGTTGATATTTTTCCCTCTCTATAGTACATCGTTTGTATCGAGATGTATACGAAGGTCAAGTCGTCAAATTATCTGTACCAGATTTGGAACCATACACGACCAATATAAATAAAAGTGAATTATTAAAAAATATAATGTGGTTAGAGAGAAATATAGCCAGCCCATCACCAGATTTAATACTAGGAATTAAACGCTCGGTATTGGTATATTGGTCTGACGATTATAACAAATATGTATTTTCATCTCGTCTAAATACAATATTTTATCGAATTGATAATGGTAATTTTAACAATTTAGAACAGAACGAGTTTAAATTGATCTTTGTCTGTATGTAGATGGTACACTTTTTGTAACGGCAAATCCGGATACTGTTGGTAAAGAATTTAGTGTAAGAGTTGAAGAGCGTCGACGATCCGGTAACGATTTATTCCATAGTAAGTTTCTATTTATTGTACGCTTATAATCCTCATTTTGTTGTTTTTAAGTAACATATCGATTAGTGGTATATACTGTGTCAAATGCCGCATGCGATAACTATATCAATGTTTTCTCCGGTGTTCCATTTCTTCTAACCTGTACGGTTGCTTTCCAAATTTATCCGTATGATACCGTTGACATACAATACAATATTGAACATACTATGAAACATAACTGGTATAAAAAAGATATGGATGGAGTGAACTTTTTTAATTCGAATAATGTTTTTCGTAATATAACTCGAAAACAAACGTGTGGCTCATATATAAGTCAATTGTCGCTGAATTATACACCAAGATTAGAAGAAGATCGAGCATTATTTACATGTATGCTTCTCAGATATATTGCAAGCTTTTTGTTTCACGATATAAATCGTTTAGGTGTTGCTGGAGCCCAATTACTGGAGAGTAATATTGATGTGTTAATAATGAGTGAAAGAAATTCATTTTATTGTACGACTGAATTACGTGTATATTTTGGTCCGATAGTACGCTTAGACTATGAAAAATTTCAAGACACAATTACTGTCAAAGAAGATGAACGGGTGAGAGTCGGGTGTCCGTTTATTTGTATGTAGAGATTATTCATACAGTTACGTACAGAAATATTTTCTCGAATATCTCGTTATTAAGGTAGGCCACAATGCTTGTACAAGTTTTTCCGTAATGGTAAATTATGGAATCGATCACATGCATCTGTTCATACTGAAGAATTCCCCCAAAGTAGAGAAAATTATCGAATTGAATGTATTGCACAACATCCCTATTTTGCTATTCGATGGGTTTCGAAAACGTTTGAAATTATCATTTCACCAAGTAGCGATGTTGCGAGTAAGGAATAGCTTACAAATATGTAAGTGTATTATCTATTTAGAAGCCCCAAGTACCGCCCCGTGGATAGATTCACCAGCCGTTACGTTGCCAGCAATCATCGGAATAACTCAAAGTAGTACGCAATTGCCCAGTGTAAATCGGTTCTCTAGAATGTTTTTCTCGTGGTTCTAGCTCTTTCTTCATGGACATTGATGGACGGCATTTCCCTACTCTTTCTCAGCGGTATCATTGTATTGATCATAGCCATGATTGCCTTTGTTCACCTAGCATGGGATTATTGGAACAAGCGATTAGATATCAGACATAAAAGTACATTGTTTTTTAGTTAAACTATCGAATACGTTAGAAAACTAAATACATTTTTGTTGACACTGTAGTTGGTTCACCTAAACTTCATCGTCGTAGCTATGGTAGTGGCGTGCCAACGATAGAATCCGTCGATTCTATATCTGGAATTCATGCTGAAATACCTCAGATGAAAGAATCTTCTCAACATGCCAATGACTCTAACGAGGAATTTAAAAAAATGAGGGATATCAATAAAGTGTTTGCTGTGAACGTATTAAAACATAAAACACAAGTGATAGGTTTAAATCATAAATTGACGTGTCCGCTATATAGAAAAGCAAATGATGAAATTATCACAACTTTGTCATTGTTTGTACCACAACACGAACAAGAACAACGAATAGATAATACTATTGATGAAGCCGATTTCACAAACAACATCGAGTGAGTTATATATATGCGTCATCGAGGTAAAAAGCACTGTCAAACTGCCACTTGCATTTGTTTAGAAATTCTAAATCAGATCGTAGTTCTCGAGTTCCATCAAACGCGTCTAAAGAGACGCATTTCGTCTCCGTACAAGAAAGTTCGTATCGTCTTGCATTAAAAGAAAAACATCGCAAACCACATGAAACTTTTCTTCAATCTCGCGTTGATCAATTACCAACAAAAGTATCTCGAATACAACGAACTGGAATAAAAGATGTGATCTCTAATCAAACATCAGAAACAACAATTTCTTCAGTTTCATCAACTGTAGCGTCCATGGTCTCGATTGTCCCAGAAGAAAGTGAGTTTATTATTCATCCACAAAAACTAGACATATCGAAACACGGAAAAGATTCATTTGCTTCCTTTCTAATAGCTCAAACAAATTCAAGACTACGAAGAGGACGTTCAAACTATCATATTCGGACTTGAAATATAAACTCTTGGCCAACATCCTTGGTAAAAATATAACAAAAACAAAAAGTTAGTGATTCATTTTATGATAGCAGGATTAGGGAAAATGCAAGAAAAGATTTAATAGCAAATGTTCATAATTTAGGCTTAAATTTCAAATTTGAACAGGGACATACTCGTAAAGTACATCCCAGTTCATTTTGTTTAGATGACAAATGAGACAAGCCTCGACCAAATAAAATAATTTTATGTCACATCTGTATAATCTCCTCAACAGTTCAGTTAATGAAGGAATTAAAATTCACATTCTTCTGTAAATGAATATTTTTACGAGCAATTTACGTTCTATCCAAATAGCCCGGAAATTTATACGATTATTAAAATCAAAGTATCACCGACTACAATTCTAGTGGCTTTTTTTTGCTATTTTTTCAGCAAAATTGAACTTGTGGAATTCTGGTTCTTTCATGAATTTGCTTATATTAAGTAAATATATATTACTTAGATTCCAGAATAGAATAGAGAAAAATGACGTACGATATATGTTTGTTAGAATGGATTATTCTGTCGTCTTATTTTTTTGACGGAGTTTTTTTTTCTTTTTCTGCTTTTAATAATTTTACTCTACTTTAGTTCAAGGCTAAAGAATTGTTTATTTCTAGCATTCATAATTCACATAACTGAAATATCGTAAACGTACTGAGAACGTACTTAAGTGACAAATTACTTCGATACATTTTGTTTGGTTTTATTTGTGTTGTCATGCTGATGAAGTCAAAAATGTTAACCGTATTAATAAAGTGAGGAAGAACGAAACTGTCATTAATTTCGATAGGTAACCAGAGTGTTGTTTTCACAGGTAAACCGATAAACTAAAATAGAGCTACTAATGAGTGGTCCATAAAGAATTGCGCTGTTTGTATTTTCAAATTTTCTCCTCCTCCTTACAATTGATTGAGCTAGTTTTTATACCAAAAGATTCTCCGTTGAATTCTCTACAAAAATGTATTGACGATTTTATTGTAAAATAGGAAAGTACAAAATGGCATGAGAAAATGTGAGAAATACGAAAATGTAGCAAAGTAAATGTATTTTCTCAAAGAAAGCGAAATTTTTTTTGAATGGTTTCTCAAGCATTAAAACCAAGAGGGAAACAGCAGAATTTCAAGCAGCTATGGACTCCTTGACCTACAGAAGCCCGGAGAACCCTATACAAACTTCCCAAAGTTCGAGAAACTGGAGCAATCCCTGGGAGGACAGGACAAAATCGGAAAAAGGGATTAGAATCCGATGAAATCTCGGAAATCTGTAAAAATGACCGAAAATGAGGCTAAGCGGAAAAACGCGGGAAAAATCAAAAATAGTCAGAAAAATTCTTCGGGCTCAGGGAAGTCACGAAGAATACCAAAGAGTATCCAGGAGTACAACAAAATTTGAAAAAAATTGATTACCTGTGGAACGGAGCCCACATTACAAAAGTCACAAAATCTGCTGTTTTCCCCTTGATTAAAACATGTCAGTATATTTTTGTGTAGCGTTACATACGCTCTTTCTCGTCGTGTAGAGCGAAAATCATTTGAATCTAAATATCTGACGCAAAGGTTAACTTCTCAGCAATCAAGTAAAAATAGCAAAAGTTGTTTTTTTAAAACCTTTTTTTTGCGCGGTGGAACAAGTCAAATTTGTTTTTCAAATCTTAGAGGTCCGATCATAATAACTAATCATTTGTTTTCAAAATTAAAAAAGTCACGTGTATGGATCAAGGTTGACTAAGCTTTATTTGTTTTATTAGAAAGCACAAATTATTGGTAAAAAATAATAAAATTCTTGTGTCCTCAATTCTAACTGAAAATTATTTAAATTATAAATGGAAAACAAAGCTTTTCAACTTATAACCTAACCCATCTTGTGATTTTTCGTTTTCAACCCACAGAACGTGACACCCATATTTGACAACAGTAAACATACATGTCATCGAGTTTTTTGCGTTCAAAAAATTAGGGCGTGGATGCCTTAAAATCAGAAAAAATTTCACTTACACAAAAGTAGAAAGAAATCGAAAAAAATTAAAACACAACCTACAGCCTAACTTAACCTATAACTTTTGTAACTTAATCCTAAAATAATCTATAGGTTGGATTAGGTCAGGTTGAACCTGCAGGACTCTGTCTCTCACAAACTTTTAGCAGATAATACTAAAAACGACTAACTACGTTGATTTTTTTCTACATTTTTGTACTTCACACATTTTCTCACGGTATTTTGTACCTTTGGATTTTGCACTAAAACAGTCAATACATTTTTTTGTGGAGAAGTCAACAAGGAATCTTTTGGTTAAAAAGCTAGCTCAATCAGTTGTAAGGAAGAGAAGAAAATTTGAAAATACAAACAGCGTAGTTCTTTATGGGCCACTCGTTAGTATTAACATTTGAAATACGTACATTATCCTTAGCGCTTAACCCAAGTAGCATTCCCGCTTCATTTCCCGGCAAGAATACAGCCTCATCTTGCCGCGATTTTGACAAGAAATTTGAAATTTAACGCGGGATCCATACCGCGATCGTACCTAATCTTGCTATTTTTCCCGTGTAACGAAAATTTGACAATCTTGATGCGAAAATTTTTTGACGAGATCGCGCTGAAATCCTGCAAAGATTGCAATGAGATCCGGACAAGATCGTACCAAGATCCCTATATGGTTAGAACACGATTGCAGGAGGGCTGAGAAAGTTTTCCTACCACTTATCTGATTGTCATTACATTCCTTCCATGGTTTAATCTCTTTTCCACCAAATTTCATCATGTTTTACTCGGTATTTTCTTCAAGAACAAGAAGTAATTAGAGATTCTCTCCTAGAACAGAGTACACAGCAATTTATTTTTTTTTGTTTTGAGTTATAAGCTCCATTTCATTTCAACATCACAAAGTTGAACTATTATTAATTTGCTCATCTAAGGTGTGATATTGTTTTTGCCGGTGAGAAGTTTTATCTCAGATGTATCTTTAGCTTCTTCATCGGTGTATTTTTCAGTTCTGATTCGAAACGTTACTGCCATTGGATCTCAGAATAGAAGTGAGAGGAGCTGTCTTTGTGTTTCATCTGTGAGTTGTGCCGATAAGGTAACGTTTGCCGTATGTGAAGAAAACATTCACTCTTGAACTTCCAGTGAATGTGTATCTGTAGATACTTGACACTCGGATCAGTTCGTTGCTAGAGCCATTCTAGCGTCCTGTGATTGAGGTGCTCTGGCTGTGCCGCTATCCTCTGTGCATCAAACAGGATCGAAATGATCGTTGCTACATTCTGAAAGACTCAAACGGCAAAGCGATCTTACACCGAGGTAACCCACAATTTGT